GGGCAGGAGGAAGGCAGGCAGGGAAAATTACGGGAGAAACTTTCGTCGTGTTTCACTCCGGTGGGAAAATGCCCACCATTGGTCAAAATAAGCTCTCTGGTGGGCAACTTTAAGGCTTAATGACAAAACCATCACACACACACACACACACACACACACACACACACACACATTCAATTTCAAATTATTTTTTGCCACTTCCCTCTCCCTGGAAATATGCTCTTGCAGAGAATGCTCGCACAGGCAGTTCATCAGGAAATGGAACTGTCTTTCCACTGTTTATGACTTGAGGTTACAAACCCCACTTACCTGGCACTTTTTGTAAACTTGGAAGAGGAGGGGGAGAAGGAAGAGGAAGAAGAGGAGGAGGAAGAGGAAGAAAACAAAACACAAAAGAAATTAAGTCAAATAAAGAGAGCTAAAAACAGTGTGCCCTATAACTGATCCGTGAAAATACAAATAACTCATAATTCTAATCTTTAATGAAGCAACATCCTATTTATTACAGTAGGATCTGGCCACATGTGGCTATTGAATACTTCAAATATGCCTAGGGCCACATATTGAAATGATAATACTTTTAATATATTGGGTTAAATAAAGCAATATTAGTAAAATTAATTTCAGCTGTTTCTTTTTACCTTTTTAATATGGCTATAGAACATTGAAAATTATTATTGCATGGCTCTATTTAGCTATTCTAAGCCTTGCCTACCCCCTAGTGTCAGAATTTAGGAATGCAGGCAAACCATTTTTCAAAACCATCTGTCAGTACAATTCATTTCAGCCTACGAAGTACAAATAGCAGCTTGTACATGCAGCTTTATCATCTTCACAAACAATACTTCACATTTAAGCCTCACAAAGAAATTCCTATTGTTGAATTTATGTTACCCACTCAATTGTTATTTTTGAAAGAAACAGAGGTTTCTGATAAAAATTAAGGCTAAAATAGTCAATCCAGAGTATCTGCAGTGTTCCTACAAATTTCAGACATTATAGCAGACAGAAACATGGGCCCAAACTTGAATGCAATGCTTACTCTTCAAAGAATTTGTCCAAAGTTGAAAATAACACAAGGCATCAAAACACACAATCACAGCATGCCTATTTTACATTATCATTTATAATAGAGAAAACAGAAAACCTAAACTTCCATAAATTTAAACAGTACAGAACTTCTACAAAATGTAAAATATTCAAAAAGAAAAGGTAGGTCTCCATAAAGATGACTAGCACTTACCGAGCACGTAACTACTAGGCAAACACAGTTCTCGGCATTTTCCAGATATTGACAAATAGAATCCTCATTACAACCCTATGAGGGTTATTTCTATTATCCCCATTCTACATAAGAAGAGACTGAGTCCCAAAGAGGTTTTATAACCCACCCAAGTATGAAAGGAGGACTGAAGCAAACCTGAAGTTCATGCTACTTACTGCACTGAGTAATAAAATCCTTTCTCTCTGACCCAAGCATCTCACATTTTCTGCCAGCTTCCATGAAACTATGGCTGGCTAACCTGCTGGCTTGCAAGTAGGGTGAAATCCTAGGCCCTTCAGAAGTCTTGACACCTACCCAGCTCCCAATCAGTGAGGCATCCTCTCTACAGCAGATTTAGCTTAAGGCCAGCAAGTAAAAGGGCTCATAACACCCCCCTGGGTCACTCTGTTCCCCAGTTTGTTGAAGTTTTTCTCTCCTCCTGATGGGTGAGCTGAAACCTCGGTCTTTATCATAAACGGACTCTCTTCATTCTAGACAGCTTTTTAGAACGATGAAAAACTTCTCTTGTGTATGATAAAGCATAAAACCCTGAAGGCATTGATCTTATCTTCCTACATATACCCATGGCCTGCAGCCATTCCTTGAATGTGAACCTCTCCAGACTCCTCCGCCTGGATGCATCCAAACACAAAAATAGCTACCATTTACTGAATGTTTATTATGTGCTAATCCCTTCGCCTACTTTTTCTTATTTAGGCATGCCAAGAAACTCACATAAGGTAGGCACACGCATCATTCCATTTTTACAGATGATGAACCGGGTTCTGAGAGGTTAAGTGGCATGATGCATAAGGTCACACGGTCGGGACGTGGCAGAACCAGGATTACATTTGACTCCAGCCCCTCAGCACTTGATTTGCTCTGCTGCCTCGTTTCCATGTGTGCCCCAGTTTTTCGGGGCCTTTATACCCAAACAGATATTAAATAATCACCAGGCACCACAGCATTTGGTGGAATTGAAACACCACAGGCCAGGTGAGGTGGCTCACAGCTATAATCCTAGCACTCTGGGAGGCCAAAGTGGGAGGATCGCTCGAGGCCAGGAGTTTCAGACCAGCCTGGGCAACAGAGTCAGACCCCATCTCAACAAAAAAATTTAAAAATATTAATTAGCCAGGTGTGGTTAGGTTGGTAGTCTCAGCTACTTGCGAGGCTGAAGCAGGAGGCTCGCTTGAACCCAGGAGTTCGAGGCTACAGTGAACTAGCATCGTGTCACTGCACTCCAGTCTGAGTGACAGAGAGAGACCCTGTCTCTAATTAATTAATTAATTTTTTAAAGTAGCTACGATTCTATAGTTAAAGGGGAAAATTTAAATTTTTAAAGTGTCCAAATATTCCCAAGGATAAATCTTAAGAATGCAGGTGCTTTGTGTCCCAATCTCATCATGTCTGCATCAGATGAAACTTCCAAAAAGATCCCCGAACAATGAATTCCGCAGGACTCTAGAGTTTCTGAAACTGCCTTTCGCGAACATCTTTCCACTGCGCTACATTTGCTGCCCTCTTGTGGCGAAATGATGCTATTAATACTTACAGGCAAAAAAAAAAAAAAAAAAAAAAGGAACAAAAGGACAAATTGCCAGTTTAAGAAATAACAGAGTAAACTCTGCCTTCCTTTTAAAAGAAACAAACCTACCAATTGGCCCCTTCGCCTTTTCTATGGCCTAAAGCCACACAAGTCCCATATGTGATCTCCTGCTCAATCATTATGGCAAATAGAATTTTAAAAACAACGAAAGTGGTCTTTTACGTTTTATAATTTCTTAAAATACTACCTCTGGACTCTGTGGCATTTCGTCAATGCCATGTGCCTTCAAGAAAGATTCCTACTGCCTATCCTGTGAAAATTAGATGGGATTTTTTTGTTTTTTTGGTTTTTTTTAATACTTGAACTAAAATTGAATCTTCAATCTACAGCTAACAGCCAACTCCCCAAATTGTGGGTAAGACTCTCACCTTCTTGCCCTCTGTGCCTGTCTTAGACAGGTGGGTGGAAATGGGGCTATTTATACACAACAAGCCACTGTCCTAATCTAAGCCACGAAAAACATGCAACAAATGTCTAACTAGGGTTTCCTAGTGCTACAGTTCCTTTAATGGGCCAGCACTCACCACAGTGCCTTTGGGACAATGTCAGGAGCCTCTCTGGCCACTCAGACACAGGCTTCTGTCGTTAACTCTCTGCGACATGCACCTGCCGTGGGCTTCCTGTGATACACCCATAGTGGGGTAAAGATCTGACCCGAAATTCTCAGCATCTCAGTGTACAGCCCTCGACTGGTTCTAATCATTGAGTTCTCCATCAGCTGAGCACCAAACTGGGAAGAAAGTGCCACAAGGCCACTGCAAAGTTCAGGGACTTTCTTCTCCTGAAGGTCATTAGAGAAAATTTATAGCATGGAATGGGAGTATTCGATGGCCCGCTGAAATGCTTTGCCTGTAAACCAACCTGACTCTCGACCCCCAATCAAGAAAAGAGATGTGTATTAAACACATTAAGATTAATGACCTCAAACACTCTATCCTCATGAACAAACTCATCAAAAGATGCACAGCACAAGAACCAACTAGCTGCAGGCACTTCGCAGCAGCCAAATGCTATTGATTTTATGCCGATTTGCTAAAACTTCAATCATTATTTTTCTCATCTTCTTTGAACTGTCGCTTGAGGAGGGAAAATTGAGTTGTGAGAGATTTTAAAAATTATCCTGAGCCTAAATTTACAGCCAACCTTAAGATAGCAGAATAATGGAGTAGAAAACATGACATGTTATATATCGGGGGTGAGGGTAACTCATGAACTTCCACATACAAGACATTTTGGAGGGAAACTTCATAATTCTGACACATATGATTTAGAGTTCAAGCTTCACTCTTTCCCCAAGAAGTGAAAACATTTCTAGCACCTCCGTGCCTCAAATTATCACAGCTGAGATAGTAAATTAATTATTTTGCAACAAGTCCACTGACAAATATGAATTATTCAGGAAAACACAATTCACTAGGGAGTTTCCAAGTCTGTGTCACTTTTAACATAGATGTACTCATAATAAAGAAAGGAGGAGAGAAACACAAACACACGCAGACATACAAATAAACTGCTTCTTAGTTGATGGTTTTCATCCTGCCTTTAAAAATCAGCAATGCATACACATGAGTTTCACTGGAAATTTTCAGAATGACTGTCTCTAAAACGTTAGACACATTCCATCTTAGGTCCCAACAGCTTTTTTTCTCTTTTCTTTTTTCTTGTTTAAAATCATTCAGCATCTTTCCTCCACAAATCCCAAGAGTCTTAAATTATCTGAAAGTTCCCTTAACCATAGCCCTGTATGTGTTAACAGAAGATTATTAATAAGATGTTCTACCTTCTAAGGAAGAGTGAATAGACAGATACACACACACACACACACACACATAGAGCTGCTGGTTATCGGGGATTCTTTTAGAAAAAGCACTATAAATATAGACATGTACTCAGGAAAGGAAAAATTTTTAAAAGCCTGGAAAATATCTTTAAAAGATGTCCAGGGCGATGCTCCTTAAGCACCAAACCATCAAACTGCGTTACTCTGCCGTATTTCGTGTTTCCTCTGGTCATTTACACACCACCAAAAGCTCTCGTCAATTACCTGTGTCTAAAACGCGGACTCTGAAGTTTGGAGGGGTTTTATTAATTGATCTCAGCGGCGCGTAATGAGCTGAAAGGGCTTACCTGCATGTCCCCGGAGGTGCTGGCTTGAGGCGGACATCAGCTTGCAGCACACCATTAACACGTAGGCCAGGAAGAGCCAGTGGGACAGCAGCACTGACCTAGCACAGACTCGCATCCTGGAGAGAAAGCAGGGCGGCATCAGCGAGGGCCGAGGAAGGCAGGCTCCCCGGCCGGCGCCAGCCCAGCAGGGAGGGAGAAAGCAGGGGCAGATCCTCGGCACCGGACTTCCTTCCCCCCACGACAACAGAAGGCCAATCGCACCCTATCTGCACCAAGCATTTTCAATAAACACCTTTTATCATTAGGAGTTTTCCGAGTTAGCGCCATGCATTGGTGAGAAGTCTGTTTATGAGTCCCTAAGGGGGAGCTCAAGCTGCCCTGATAGAGCATGGGGGTTTTATTCCATTTTATATCAGGAAATGTAAAAGCAACACACTTATAGCGGGATTCAAATAAAATAAACACACGTGGTTTCCACATCTGAAAGAATCCATGGAGATTTTGCACAGGTGGCCAGGGAGCTTTCTCTTGGTGTTTTTGACTCTATAGTAAGGCCCTGGGGTCTGCAAGATTGGACTCATAGTTTATTGAACCAGTCTCAAAGTTTGGTGAGGAATATGGACAAGTAAGGGTGAGTATCAAATAAATTTCACTTCGTAAGATACACACTGTATCAAAACAGTTGCTCAAAGTAATTCTGTTCACAATATGGTTGTATGGTCTATTCTAAAACAAAAGTATAGGCCAGGAACTGTGGCTCACACCTGTAATCCCAGTGCTTTGGGAGGCTAAGGCAGGAGGATATCCTGAGACCAGGAGTTCAAGACCAGCCTGGGTAACATCTTGAGACCCTGTCTCTACAAAAAATAAAATTAAATTAACAATTAGGCAGGGATTGGTGGGATTAGGCAGGGATGGTGGGGTATGCCTGTAGTCCCAGCTACTGGGGAACCTGAGGCAGGAGGATCACTTGAGCCCAGAAGTTCAAAGTTACAGTGAGCTATGATCGTGCCACTGCACCCCACCCTGGGTGACAGAACGAGACCCCATCTCTGGGCGGGAGAAGTAAATAAAAAAGGAAAGTATCAATAACATTATTCCCAGCCCTCTCATTTTCTACTCTTTTTAACATTATAAGGGAATTAAACAGAACTTGATTAACTGTTTTTGTTTGCTCTCTTTTTTTTAATTAACTTTTCAAGCAAAGTCAGGGCATTTGGCATTTGAAATTCCAGTGATATTGGGTTCTGCCTTGCACGTGGCTCACAGGTATCTATTGTCACCACAATGGATCAAAGGAACCCCTTTTTATAGACGCAAAATGTACAAACACTCGTGGGCAGAGGATAAAAACATGGCATAAGAGGCTGATTCTTGCCTGGGTGACGCTACAGGGAGGCTCCTGAGGAAGTCCTCTCAGGAAGCACCTGCAGCTGGCAGAGACCAGCAGTGCCTCCAGGACAGCCCCGATCCCCTGCTCGAGGGAAAGCACATCGCAGCCCCAGGGGACCTGCATGCCGCCTCGCACCCCCAGGGGACCTGCATGCCGCCTCGCACCCCCAGGGGACCTGCATGCCGCCTCGCACCCCCAGGCACGGCCACTGCTGCCAGCTCTCCCCGCAGCCTCTCACAACTTAGTCAAATAGATCTCCTTAAAAAGATGTATTGTTCATTGATCTGAGACTCAATCTGCTTTGGAAGCAGCCAGGCCAGGACGAGATTCTAAGACCCTCTCTGAAGAACTCGGTGGCAAAGGTTAACACAAAGCATTCGCTTCTTTTTGCCCTTTTAAACAGTTTTAAACTTCTAGGCTTGGTCATTTGTTATGCAGCAATAGAAAACTAATATTCCATTTATCTGATCCCCGATAATCTCTTTTTGGGCCACTAATTACTACAAACTGGAAGCCGCATGCCTGGCGCAGCCTATAAATACGTTCTATTTGCTTTGCACTGTGTTTTTAAAACAAAGTGAATAGTTGCCAAATTATAAAATGTGCCGACTGCATACCAGAATCCAGCTTCTCCTGAAGAACTATTCCTGACACCCCTCGGCTTACATTTCTGTACAGGAGTAACAGGCTGGGTGGTAGCAGCTGCCCCAAGACGGGTCTCCACGTCCCCCTGCCCCGGCCAGCGCCCTGGGCCCAGCCAGCCCTGCTCATTCACTCACAGCCACTTGAATTTTTGATCCTTGGGTAAAAGGAATATGCCTTTGTAACAATCACATTAATAACTGATCTTGGGGTTAACAACTGGGATTTTTAAACATTATATGTGAGACAGAACATCCCACTAAAAAAAAATCATCAAATATGGAAACTTCTGTGCTTCTCCCAAATTATATAATCGATAAGGGCATCTCAAAATCATGCAAGGCCCACATATTTATTTCTCTGCCACCTTTTGAGCTGCTTCTAAAGTTTCTGTCCCCTTCATGTGCGTACGCTGAGGCGGGGGAGATGGAAGACATGCTTTGAGAAACTAAAACACATGCAAGCCCTCCAAAGCAGAGAAGTCCAATGCTGCCGTGTAAGTTCAGAATGCTTGGAACTTCTAACGCGAATTACCAAACGTAGAAGTTTAAAACAACATAAATGTATTATCTCACTGTTTTAAGTCAGGAATCTGGCATGTTCTAGCTAAGTCCTCTGCTGAGGGATTCACAAGGCTGAAATCAAGGTTGTCAGTGGGGTGTGTTCTCATCCAGAGGCTCGGCTGGGGAAAGATCACCTCCAAGCCCCCTGAGGTTGTCGGCAAAAGCCATTTTCTTGGGACTCTCTGACTGAGGTTCCCGTGTTCTTGCTCGTGGGTCCTACAGGCTACATTCATACCTCTGCCATGTGGCCCGCCACACGTTCCTTCTCGGTTCAAATCTCTTCTTCCAGCAAAAGCCCACTCCCTTTTTAGGGCTCACCTGATTAGTCAGTCCCCCCATGATAATCTCCCTTTTGATTAATCCAAAGTCAATTTATTTGGGGCCTTAATTACATGTGCATAACCCCTTCAATTTTGCCACATAGCCGTGACTTAATCAAAGGCGTGAACCCCATCGTAACCACAATCCCACCCACACTCACGGGGAGGAGATATACAGGGTGTACACACAAGAGGGTGCAAATCTGGAGCGCCGATCTAGAATGCCGTCTACCGCAATG